TGAGATAATAACAAGAAAATTATTTCACACAGTGTCCAAAACCTAGTAAGACTCCTTAATTGGGAATGGTACACTCCTGGTGTGTGGAAAGCCACATGGTCTTACTACCAGAGAGACCTGGGTTCAGCCACTGGCTGGCTGTAACCCTTGGTTTCCTTATAAGGCTTTTGTGAAGATTAAATGCAACTGTATATTTGAAAGCACCTGGCACAATACAGAGGCAGTGCTGTCATCAGATGGCATCTATCCCTCTGTCTGCTGCCCTTTCACTCCTCTTGACACCTGCTATAGACTGAACGTTTGTGCCCTCAACCCCCACCTTGTCAGTTCATCTAGTGAAGCCATGATCCCCAATGTGATGGTATTTGGAGGTGGGGGCTTTGGGAGAGAATTAGGTCAGGAGGGTGGAGACATTATAAATGGGATTAGTGCCCTTAGAAGAAGAGACATTTGAAAAAACAAGCTCTCTTTCAGCCACGTAAGGAGACAGCAAGAAGGCCATCTGCCAACTAGGAAGAGGGCCCTCACTGGGAACCCAATTAGCCAGCACCTTGAATTTGGACTCTGAATCTCCAGAACTGTGAGAAATCAATGTTTATTGTTTAAACCACCCAATCTGTGGTATTTTGTTATTGAAGCCTAAGACGAGTAGGACAATACCTTTATTTATGATACAGCCCTCATTGCTCTAATCACAGTGCAGCTGTACCATAGTTACATGCTGGTCCCATAAATGTTGAGCTCCAGAGAGTGGCCCGATGACAGCCCTTGGAACCCAGATGCTGCTCAAGCAATGCTTGCTGAATTAAATTTTGAGAAGTCTTACTTTTGTAACTTTGGGAGATAGGATTGCATATGAATTAGGAACATCAATTCTGCAGCCTAGATTCAAATCGCAGTTCCATCATGTACTAGCTAGGCAGTTTTAGGCAAGTTAACCAACCTCCTGATTTATCAAATGAAAATAATAATATCACTCCTTTTATAAGGTTGCAATGCAGTTTAAATAAGTTAATTGTAAAGGACATAGAACAGTGTCTAGCATGTCCTAGGGGTATTTTGGTAAATAAAATTTATTCACCATCTTCAAAAAATGGAGGGCAATCATTTTCATCTTGGTTTTATTGGGATGATTAAATGGAATAGTAATAGGGAAACATCTTTGTAAGGAGTAATGTCACACACTGATGTAATCTATTATGAGATTTTTCCAGATCCACTCCACTAGCTGAACTATACTCATAAAAGGGGCTATGGGGAAATTAAGGATGGAAAAATAACCCCAATGTTATAGTAAATTATATTTGTATCAGCTGCCATTTATTCTGAGCTGAATGAAATCTGAAATGAGGCTGCCTCATTAGAAGTAAAGTATTAAAGAGTAGGCTCAGAACAGGCTCATGACAGGCTTTAAATTGCATTAAAGCAAGTGCATAAGACTCTGTGAAGAACCAAGATGGTGGTGTAAGTAAACGCCTGTACTTGCTGCCTCCCACAACCACATCAAAATTACAACTAAAACACAGAACAACCATCATTTAGAACCGGCTAAAAGCTGGCTGAATAGAAGTCCTACAACTAGAGAAGTAAAAAAGGAAGCACATTGAGACTGGTAGGAGGGGCAGAGGCACAGAATGGGCTGGACTGGCACCCATCTGTGCCCCTTTTTTAAATCAGGAGGGAGATAGACTCTGTGGAGCTGCCCATGAGGAGCAAGGGGTCTCAGCCCCACACCAGACCCCTATCCCAAAGTCCCAGAGCTGGGAAGAGAAGTCCCTACAACTTTGGGCTGTAAAAATCAGTGGGGATTGGGGCTGAGTGACACGGAGGCTGGTGAAGATCCAGGTGTTCCTTTTAAAGAACCAGGCAGGAACTTACACGGTCTTACTTCTTCTGAGCTCCAGCACCAGGGGCACCCAGACACATATGGGGAGGAACTGGATTGTCTGGCATCGGGGCAGGAACTCGGGGGAGGCTTTCTCCCAGAAAGGGCTGCTTGCAGGGTTCACTGTTCTAGTGCTGGGATCTCCCTGTCCCAGGGCTGACTGGCAGCCAAGTAGAGTTTCCATCAGCTTGGCCCAGACTGTTTGCTCCACCCTGGTGATTTCCTGAGACCCCACCCAATCCAATTTATAGCTCCACCCAACCTGGTTGCACCCAATTTTCCACATGAATAGCCTGTCCCTGCTCAGGCTCCAGACTTTGCTAAAATCTCTCAAACAAGCTTCAGTTGGTGACAGTGTGCCACAAACCTATCAATAAAAGGGCCAAGACCCAGCACTAGCACCAGCCTGCCTTGCTGCACAGCTGGGCCTTGCCTCCTGCACAACAGCTCTCCCACTGTAGTCGCAACTGGTCATCACAGCCAATTGACCTGGAGGCCAACTCCTCCCATAGATGCCAAGAGCAATCAAGGCTCAACTACAAGACTGTGCACACAGCCCACACAGGGGCACACCTGATGAAAGAATTGCAAGTCCAAGCACAAAGAGTCTCAAACAAGAGGGGGGCGGGAAGAGATTAACCAAAGATCTTACCTATGGACACAGACAGTAGGGTGGTGAAAGCCTGGGTGGGGTGGGAACTGGGTGGAGGGGAGCAGTGGAGGGAAAAAGGGGGACATCTGTAATACTCTCAACAATAAAGGGTTTTTTTTAAAAGAACTCTGTGAGATATATTTTAATTTCTTCTTTATACTTTTCTAAAATTTTCCACTTTTCTACAGTGAAATGTATGACTTTGGAATGAATTAAATTCTAAAGAGAAAATTTTAGAGAAATTAATTTATAGCCACACACACACACACACAGGCACACACATACACATATGAAGGAGGGAACTGGTCCCTCGTGAGATACAATACAAACAAATATCAATATTAGATTCACTAGACAAACTTCTTTTCCTGGCCAGCTGTAGTATGGTTGTTAAAATGATTCTCACCCCCCTCAAAAAGACAGCCAACTAAGAATGACTGCTAGCAGGTGGAAGATTACAAGAAGACTAGCACCTAGAATGTTTCTTGGGAAGAAAAGGATGTGTAATCCAACAAAGGAAGAAGTATTGACAAGGCTGATTAGAATCAAAGAACCACAGGGTTGGAAAGAGACTGAAAAATCATACAGTTCAACTCTCCCATCCAAAGCCTGACTCCTTTGTGCAATTTTCCTGACACCACATCTTCTATTATCAGAATCACCTAGAGGAATTTACAGAAAAATAAAGATTTCCAGGACCCATCCAGGCGGACTGAATTAGAATCTTAGTGTGTGTGTGTGTGTGTGTGTTTGGGGGAGGGGGGGCGCAGCGTGAGGGGTGTGAGGGGGAGGTAGAAGGCGGGTATATCTAAGTGTTTATAATGTTCCCCTGGTGTGAAAAATCATTATTCTAGTTCACTATCTTCCAGGTACTCTACACCATCTCTGGGCAGCTCTGACTGGTAAAAGCACTTTAACATGAGCTGAAGTCTATTCCCACAAAGTGTTCCTTCCCACCCATTTCATCCTTGGGGCTTTTTTCTACAGAGCAGCCCCTCAGACAGCTTCGGTTAATTAAATCAAACCAAATAAAAATGCATGCTGCTTTGACATATTCTTTTTTGAAGTAAATGAAAATGGAGAAACACAGAATATAAACTAGGGCTGAGAGAAATGCTCTGAATACAAAATCGTTCAGAAAACATTACAAGCCATGGCACAAACTCTGAATGTCCTCTCAAAGCAACGTGAGGCAGCTATCCAGGTGCCCAGAGGTTTAGAGAACCCCAGGTACCTGTCTGCTAGCGGGGGAAGGGGTGGGGGGGAGGGGGGGCAGGGAGAGTCCTGAGCATGGGCACGGGGGTGGGGAGGTTCCCTGGAGTTTCAGCGCTTCTCTGCAAGTCCACCCTTCAAGGTGAGGGAGCAGCTGTGAATAGTTGGCTTGCTACCCTCCCCCCTTTCTCCCCAGGCTGTGAGGCCACAGGCAGAGCAAGATAGGAGACCAGTCTTCTCTGGGGTGCAAATGCCCTGCGGGGTTATTCTTCGGTATAATTTACATCTTCCCACTGTGGTTTGAGCCGCTCAGTCACTGGACCATGTTGTGTGTGGCACTTACATCCTTCACTGAGGATTTTTACAGAGGTGTTGGGGGTCTGGATGTGAGGCGAGCCCTTTGAGAAACCCGCAGCTCATGGTGACTGCTCTGAATAAGCATTATCCCCCACTTTCATTTCTTGCCATTTCTCTTCTCTAGGGTGCAGATAGTTTGGTTCTTAGTATCTGGGGTGAAGATTAGAAGCTGCTGGGACAGATGAAGGACTTGGCTGTTCTGAAGTATATTCTTGCCTTTCTAAAGCAGAGTTGAACAAATACTTAGAAAAGAAAGAGCATAATTCTCTCGACTTAGGAAACACGGAACTAAATATCTGAGTGGGAGTGAGTGGAAAGTTGTAGGGTAGGGTGGGGAACAGGATAACTAAAGGAGTGAAAAGCAGTTGTAAACTCAGTCTTTCCACCTCACCTGATTTGACAGCTCGTGTCCCAAGCATCTGATTTGGAAGGGAATGGAAGTTTGTAGTTGATTTCCTTCAATATTTGGAGGTAACACACAACCAGGGCCTTATCTTAGTAAACAATCTACTTCCTTTGGCATTTACCTGGTCTTTCTATGAAATTATCTGTTAAATTTTGAACCTTTGGAATAAGCCTTCTGAGGGTGTAAGTCAGCATGCAAGCTGACGGACATAATCTTGCAATTGGGAATGCTGGTCGTAGTTTGAGGAAGGCAGTATTGGCAGATCCTCTTCTTTCCTTTATGCCCTATCACAGTCACCAGCTTCAGTAAAACCCTAACATGAAGGGAGTGAGACTATTTAATTCATGTCACCTGTCAATTTCCCTGCAGACTGACTTTCCCCCTCAAAGAGATACTTGTGAACAGTTTGTCCCATGTTCATCCTCCCTCATCTCCCCTCCCCGGAGAGCAGAAGAGCGAGTGCTCTGAAACAGGGAAGGCCTTCTTACCTCCGTTTGCTGGGGATGACCCCCATCTCCTCACTGTCTCCATCCAGGGTGACTCTCCGGGCTTGCCACCACTCATCATCAGAGGCGTTGATAACATGGAGAATATCTCCGTATTTAAAACTAAGTCCTTGGCTTGGCAGCCCACTGTCCTTGCTCTTGTCATAGTCAAACATGGCTCTGGAGGGAGTGAAAAGAGAGGACATTGTTAGGACTCCCTGGAGCACAGATTTAGGATGCACAGTTTTGATTTTTCACTCTTGCCCTGAGCACCCATCATCCAGCTTTTAGGACTAACTCCCAAATTGCAGTCCATGTTCCCATTGCTTTGGTCACAAGTGGAGGCTAGTTCTTTTTTAAAAAAATATATTTTATTTATTTTTTACAGAGAGGAAGGGAGAGGGATAAAAAGTTAGAAACATTGATGAGAGAGAAACATCGATCAGCTGCCTCCTGCACACCTCCTACTGGGGATGTGCCCACAACCAAGGTACATGCCCTTCACCGGAATCGAACCTGGGACCTTTCAGTCTGCAGGCCGACTCTCTATCCACTGAGCCAAACCGGTTAGGGCTCAAGTGGAGGCTAGTTCTTGCTTCTCCTTGGTGGTTGCAGGGGGAGCCTCTAGACTCTTGAAACTGGGGTGCTTTCCTTGGAGACCATCATTTGTGACAAGGTGATAATAGGAGATGGTAAAGATAGTTTAGTACCTGCTGAAGATTTAAAAAAATATATATTTTATTGATTTTTTACAGAGAGGGAGGGAGAGGGATAGAGAGCTAGAAACATCGATGAGAGAGAAACATCGACCAGCCGCCTCCTGCACACCTCCCACTGGGGATGTGCCCGCAACCATGGTACATGCCCTTGACCGGAATCGAACCCGGGACCTCTCAGTCCGCAGGTCGACGCTCTATCCATTGAGCCAAACCGGTTTGGCGAAGATTTTTTTTCTTTCTCACTATGGTCAATTTTTTAAAATCACGAAAAAGAAGGAAATAATGAAGAGGAGCATGGGCATCTTTCTGAAGGAACCATTTGTGTTATGGACAAATCCTCTCAGATGTATCGTTCTGTAGAACCCTTTCCTTTATAATAGAGGAAAATGGTAAAAACTCAGATGTCCACTCACAGGGGACTGTGATCCCTCCATCTACTGGAATACTGGACCATCACTGAAATTGGATGGTTGCAGAGATTAACATAATGACACGAATAAATGCTTAAAATGCAATAATGCAAATCTGTACACCTATGTTTATGTGTGTGTGTATAGATAGATCAAAATTATATGGACAAGACAAATCTTGTTGCTCCCACAGAATGCTGAGCCCACCTCATCATTGCAATGATCACTCTGGGTTGTATGTCTTGCTTTATGCATCATGCTTTCCCCACCGAAGAGCATTTGCTTAGCCTAGCAAAGCCCAACACAGGAATGACTGGTGGGGTGAGGGAATTGGATGCAGAATTAAAATGATGACCGAGACCTTATACTAACCAGCTGTTGCCTTCAGAAGGTACAATTTGTCTCAAGTCCTATATTGGCCCCCTCCTCCTGTATGCTCCACTCTCACAAACCACCACCACACACACAGCACACAATTTCTCTAGAGGAGCAGATTTTTCCATCTCCCTCTTTATTCCCCTGCGATTCCATTCTAAGAATTTCCCTGGAGTGCAAGCACTATGCAAGAAAAATTAGCTAGATCTGAGAAACAGACTTTTCTAATATCACTGAGGACTAAGTGGGGTTCTTTTCATTTTTTTTCTCCTTATGAAAGAAATGCCATATCTGCTGTCATGGCAACCGAAAAGAGCTGAAGGCAGCATCTAAAGCTCTGAAATGCTGCAGGAAAAGTCGAATTCCTTGCAACACCGCCCCTTCCTCCATTAACTCTATCCCCATGGGAGGAATATGGGGGGACTTTTTAGGTTTCAGCCCCAGAATGACTCCTTTCTACCTTGGCCATTTGCATGTTCCTACCGAAAGTTTCAACAAAGCCCGTGCCAGGAAAACAGGGCGGGGAGAGGACAGAGACCCACTCTGGAAATTGTCACTTCTCTGGCTGGGCGATGTGACATAAATTAACATTCTGAGCCACAGGTTTTTTCATGCGAAATTAGTCCAATAACTATCTCCACAGGGAGCTGTTGTGAGCATTAATAAAATAACACATACAAAGCACCTAGCCCCCGGTAGGTGCCGCATAGCAGAGTATAACACAGGGGTTAAGAATATAGACTGAGGGGCCACACTGTGAGGGCCATATTGTGGCCTATGACTTCCTATGAGTCATATAAAGAGTGTCCCAAAATTCACGCAAGAAGTAATTTTGATAGAAAACACAGGTTTATAATTTAAAATTATAAATTTTTTATTGATTCATAACATAAAGTATACAGTATAGGGTTATGTATGGAATAGCATATCGGATAAATGGCCTCCACAGCTTTGCTGGCACATACGCACTCTTTTGTTATTGCCTGAGCAGCTGCATTTTCGAAGAAGAATGGTCCGATGATGCCTCCAGCCCAAAATCCGCACCAAACAGTGACACATTGTGGATGCATTTGTTTCTCAACAATCACTCGTGGATTTTCTGAACCCCAAATGTGACAACTTTGTTTTTTGTTTTTTTTTTGTTTTTTTTTTTTTAAATATATTTTATTGATTTTTTACAGAAAGGAAGGGACAGAGATAGAGAGTTAGAAACATCGATGAGAGAGAAACATCGATCAGCTGCCTCCTGCACATCTCCTAATGGGGATGTGCCCGCAACCCAGATACATGCCCTTGACCGGAATCGAACCTGGGACCTTTCAGTCCGCAGGCCGACGCTCTATCCACTGAGCCAAACCGGTTTCGGCCAACTTTGTTGATTAACCAAGCCATCAAGACGAAAATGAGCCTCATCGAAATTCAGCCACATTTATGCAAAACGGTCATGGAAAATTTCAACAAAAGAGTGCGTATGTCCAGCAAAGCTGTGGAGGCCATTTACCTGATATGCTATTCCATACATAACCCTATACTGTATACTTTATGGATCAATAAAAAATGTACAATTTTTCATTATAAACCTGTGTTTTCTATCAAAATTACTTCTTGCATGAATTTTGGGACACCCTTTAGCTGTTTACCCAGGCGAGCTACGTACCCTCTCGTAGGGCTCAGTTCTGTCCTATGTAACAGTGGTGATAACAGTACCTCAGTGAAGGAATAGTATGGATGAAATGTTACCCAAGGCAATACGTGGAAAGCATGCACAACAGTACCTGGCTCATAGTGACAATAAGTATGAACTGTTGTTATTATTTCCCCTTTCCCTTTTGAGTGTATATTCACAAAAACCTTTCTACAAATGCTACTCTGTGCAAACAGTTGCTGACATAGCAGTCCTGAGGCCACTACCCTCCAGAAGGCTTGCTTGCAAGAGTGGCTCTTGGCTTACTTCTGGGAACTTAGGTTTTGGGAAGTTTCTCACAGTTCCCACTCTGCCTAAACTGTGTAACTAGTTACATGATGCTGAACACTGGCTTCTCTTCTGGGAGTCTGGGAATTTGCCAGGCAGAGGAACCTGTGTGATCAGCCCCCACTAAAAACCCTGGACCCTGAGTCTCCAGTGAGCTTCCCAGGTAGACAATATTTTACACCTGTTGGCACAATGTGTTGCCAGAGGAACTGGGCATGTCCTGGGTGACTCCACTGGGAGGGGACTCTTGGAAGCCGGTACCCAGTTTTCAGGCTCCTTTTCTGCGCTGATTTTGCTTTGAATCCTTTCACTCTAATAAATCAGTTATGACTATGATGAGGCTGAGGCCTGTGAACCCTCCTAGTGAATCATTGACCCAGGAGTTGTCTTGGGGACCCCCAACACTCCCTGGAGATTGTAAAGCATATTCATATGCACTACCTCATTTGTGATTCACTCCAACCCTACAAATAACTATGTCCACATACATAGTGGTACCCCCTTACTATAGATAAGGGATCTATCTGGTGGCGCCCAGTGACTAACCGCAGATACATGACCTAGGGCTGGAGCTGAGGTCTCCTGATCCTGAGTCCCAGCTCTATTCTTTTTACCTCGTCTCCCCCTCAATCGGGGAGGTGGCAGAGGTGGTGACAAGGTGGCAAGGATGATAACCGTGATGGCAACCACAACTAATGCCCATGTTAGGGGGTCTAACACTTTGCATTCATTGTCTTATTTGACATCAGAGCAACCCGAAAGGTAGAAATTTGTATTTGTTTTACAGATGAGAGAAGGAAACTCAGGAAGTTAAGGGTCCTGCCCGAGGCCACGTGTACACCTATGGTAGACAATGGATCTAGAACAAGCTCTGTCTGAGTTCCAAATCCTCATTCTTGGCCCTTTCAGCATCAGGCTCAAGTTCCCAGTCTGTCACCCTCTGGCCATGGTCATACCTTAGCAGCACCAGGAACCTTAGAGTTACCTTCAGACTTGACCACCGCTTCCCCTATAAATCCCTGAAGTTCCCAGCCATTTCGTTCTTGACCCAGTATTTCTTTTTAAGAAATATATATTTTTATTGATTTCAGAGAAGAAGGGAGAGGGAGAGAGAGAGAGATAGAAATATCAATGATGAGAGAGAATCATTGATTGGCTGCCTCCTACAACCGCCCCCCCCCCCTCATTTTGGGGATTCAGCCTGCAACCTGGGCATGTGCCCTGACAGGGAATCGAACCCTGACCTCCTGGTTCATAGGTTGATGCTCAACCACGGAACCACGCTGGCCTGGCTTTCCCCAGTATTTCTTATCTTAAAAATTCTCGAAGCTCTGGTTTGGCTCCTTCTGAATGGAAAGTGTAGGGAGTGGAGGTAGAAAAGCCACCAGGAAAGCTGGCAGGTGGTGGCTGAGAAGGCAGGCTCTAGCATCAGGCTGCCTGGGTTTGCCACTTTTGAACTCTGTGACCTTGAACAAGTTGCTTGACCTCTCTGGGCTTCAACGGTAAAACTAGCATAGTAATAACAGCAGCTGAGGACTAAATGAAATAATATATGCAAAGTATTGCAACACCAACTTGGCACTAGTGAGTGCTCAGCAACTGTTTATTATTACTGTAATAATTGTTATTCTGAAAAAATGGACTGGGTCCCAATGGGCCACTTAGCATAGCTGTCTTGTGGACTCTGTATAGACATTTATTTAC